GGGGGGGGGGGGGGGGGGGGGGGGGGGGGGGGGGGGGGGGGGGGGGAGAGCCCTAGCCAGCAGAAACAAGGAAGAGCTGCGAGCAACCTCAGAGGCCAACCGGTGGTCGTTGTTGGTGATCAATTGCGTGCGTTGTTGTGCATGTGCTGATGCCGACTCGACTTGGCCGAGTTGGAATTTAATCACGGAACACGCGGCGAAACATGTTCGAATTTCTTGGACGATCGACGTGTTCACAGCGCGCGTTCAAAAGCTTGGGGTCGGGATTCCGAAACCCGCCTGATATCGTCCGCGGGTCAGTTAAATCAACTGCTGCTGTTCATCGAAGTGGCGAGACTGTGGGCGGAGAAACTCCAGTAGCGACCTCACAGTCAGCATCAAGGATGAAGTGTCGAAACATACGCAAGGCCCCAAACAAGCTGCTCCTGAAATGTACGAATAGAATAGAGAAGCAGACTGCCTCCTGCGTTTTTTGCGCGGGAGCATTCCAAGTTTTCCGATCACTTCACGAGGACCTTCTGTTTCAACGGCCATCGACACCGAAGCCGATACACACACCCCTAGGCACGCGTGCAGCAACCTGTCGTGAGGGCTATAAACTGCCTCGTTCGCGTCTAGCTAGTAAACACGAGACATCATTAAGTAGTGCAAGCATGACGGGATGCCTGACCGCTGCTCCCGTACCGAACACATCTCTCTCGCGCGACATGGATGACAAAACACAACGGGATATGTATCAACCCAGTAGAGAGGCCTCGACACAACACCGCACCCGGAGTGCCGGGACTCACCGTGGTCGGGCACCGGCTGCCGGCCCTTCTTGCCGCCCAGGACCATGTCAACCCTCCGCTCTCAGCGCCCGAGATCCCAACCACAACACCTCAACGTGTGCGTCGTGTGTGCCCTCTGCCCCCTCCGACTCGTCGCTGCTGCTTCCCTTTGTGCCGGGTTGTCTGAATATACGCTTCCCGTTTCCCCGCACTTGCGTGCTTCTGAGGAAGTGGCGGTGAGCGGGAGGGGTGGAGTGCCTAGCCCTCGACGTCAGACACCTCAAAGACCTCAAGTCGCGCTGTTTGAAGATGTTTTTTCAAGGTAATGGATTCCGAGTGAAAGACTCACAGCAGCTACAGTAGAGGACAGGAGGAGGCCCCACCCACGACCACAGGCGGCAAGCACGTAGTATATACCCCCCAAAACCGAAACTTCCGATCGGCGTCTCCCCGTGTCCAAAGCCGTCAAGTGTCAAGCGTGCAAAGTGTCAGAATGGTTCCACAAACCTGGTGGCTTTTTTGACGTGTCGCTCTGCTTGTTGTCGTTGGGGGGGAGGCAAGAGCGGAGTGTCGTCACCAAACGATCCTTACCACGGGCGGTTAGGGCTAGGGCTACGTACCGTGCGCTCGACGACGCCCGCAGCAACATCAACATCCGGTGGCGATTCCCAAACGGCATGGCATCATGCGGCATCAACTAGCGCGCTCGGCAGAGGAAGCTCCTCCTCCTCCTGCTCCTCCTGCTCCTCCTGCTCCTCCTCCAGCACCAGAGTCACCAGAGGCAATAACAGCAACAGTAGCAGCAGCAGCAGCAGGGATTGAAACAGCCGCAGGGGCAGACGGCCGCCTGGTCGTGGTGCCCTTGTTGGTAGCAGACGATGAAGCAGCGGTTGTTGCGGTGGTTCCGCCGCACGTCTACCCCGCCGCCGACATGAGTATCGGCGTCGAACCAACGGGGCCGGCGGCGACGACATCGCCGTTGCTCCCCCCCCTGCCCGACGACGTGCCGACACGCATCGAATGCCGTGGCATATCGGGCGGCGCTGCCGCCGCCGCCACCGCCGCCGCATCGCCGTTGCTAGCCCCCCCGCCTGACGACGTGCCGACACGCGTCGAATACCGTGGCATATCGGGGGGGGCCGTCGCCGCCGACGCCGCCGCCGCCGCCGGGGTTGCCGGAAATACGCCGGTTTCCTCCTCCTCATCGTCCTCCGCCGCCGCCGCCGCCGCCTCGCTCTCAACTTTTGCCGAACCAACTTCCCCGGGAAAATGCTACACCAACAGCAAGGACAACAACGGGAGCATTCCTGCTGCTTCAAGTACAACCAAACCCCGCCACCAGGTTCAGCAACCATTATTCGCGCCGGCTGGTTCACGGGACAGCAGCGAACCCCGCCGGGAAAAAATCGGCAATGCCGCGGTAAGTTTTCCGGGCGCGAGCGAAGTTCTCTCTGCCGCTACGCCTGCTGCCGCGAGCGGCGGAAAGGATGGCGGCGTTGATGATTGTAGTGGCAGTGAAGAGCTGGTTTCCCATCCGAGAACGTCGATGAAATCGTCCATGAGGTCGCTCGGCGCGTCGAGCGACCGCTGGCTGGAGGACTTCGACGCTGACACGAGTGGCTCGGTGAGTATCCTTTCGTCGAGCACCAACTGTCTCTGTCTTACTCTGTTTTGTCAGCCTTACGGGCTTCACTGAGGATGGACACCGTCGCCGCTGCAGTGCTGCGAGCTGCCGCGATGCGCTCTTTTGCCGTGTGTACACCTGGTCTAAACTCTCACCGCTGCATCAGAAAACTGATGCCAACCATCGTATGTACTCGGCAGAAAGAATTTTCGTTTCACCTCGTGTGTGCTAGTCTGTGGTGCAAACTTGCAGGTTCCCTCTATGTGGACAACTTTTCTTGTGTGTTGACCGATAGTTTCGACTGGTTGAGCCGCAAGGCTGCGCAGCTGCTGCGGTAGCTGATCCAACCTCGTAGCCGCGTTTGCAGGGGCAGGCTGGTCCTACGATGGTTGCTATAGCCGTGCGACTGCTGCTCGCAGTGCGGTGGAGTTCTTCTTGCCGCCAACCAGATGCTGCGTTGTTTTCTTGCTGGGGCTGAACCTGGTGCTTCCCTCCAGACTATCGCCAAGATTTTGAAGGTGTGCTGTTCGTCGGCAACGGGAGGAACCTGCCCCAGGGAGGGAGGGGTGTACGATGCATCATGCCACGGCTCCCCTCGGTGCTTGTGATGAAATAACGCCACAGCGCTTTTTCCGGCCAAACTCTGGATGCCGTTTGTCGTCGCGAAACGCAGGACGAGGAGGACAGCGATGAAGGCGGTGACGACATCGACAGCAGCAGCAGCAGCGGGAGCAGCACGGCCAACAACGCAGCTCTCTCTCCGGCCGCAACCACCTTCAACATCCCGCGGCTGCGCGACCCGCTGGGTATAAAACCCCCAATGAGAAAACCAGAGATGGAAGAGGACGGGGATCCGTCCCCCGTTCGCCCGATCGCCGACCGCGTCGACCAAGTCTGGAGCAGCTTGGTGCCGCGGCACCAGTGCTTCATCGACCGGTGGCCTCCAGACGAGATGGCGGCGGGAGAGACGGCAGAGGGGGGGCGTGAGCAGGGTGCTGGACCGTCGCTTGAGGTGAGGACGGCAGCGGTGGGGAGGGGGGAGGGCTCTCGGTTACCACCGCGAGCATCTTATCGTGTCGGTGTTTTTGTGTTACAGCCAGGAGGCCGTTTTTACGACAACGTGCACGTGCGTGTCGTGGGGGCTTGTCTTTGTCTACTTTAGGTCCTCTCCACGGGGGTGTTTCCGATGAGCAATTAATGAAGTATTTAAATGTGTTTTGATTCGGTTGGGAACGCTATTCCGCTGATCTGACCCAGAGTTCAGCTCGCTGGAACCTCAGGTACACTTGTACGTCCGCGCTCTATTTTGCGCGCGTGTTTTTTTGCCCACTTCTCTATCTATCTATGTTGCATGTGTTGTGTGTCTCTCTCTCTCTTCTTCTGTCTCCCTCCTTCTTTATCTGTCTCTGTCTCTGTCTGTCTTCTGTCTGTCTGTCTGTCTCTCTCCCTCTTGTATCTACTGCTCCGGGGTCGGTCCTCGAAAAAAGGCACGTCTGCTGATCGAGGATTGGCTTCGCTGCAGCAAGGGGAGCCCACGCGTCTGCGCCGAGCGACTCAGGCGGCTGGCAGATGCCCGGGCTTCGTGGAGATGGCCGGAGGCGTGTTTCCTGGCGAGGGACGTTGCGGACGTTCTGCTTACGGGAGCGATGAAGGTGGGCTGCTGAAAAGAAATCGTGCGTTGATCATGGCTCCTCCGTTGGCGCATCCATCGGGAAATGGGAATGGTACATAATTCCGGTTGTTTTTTGGGGTATCCGCTGGTGGATCACGGAGGAGCTTCAGCGGCAGTGGTTTGCGGTGCCATTTGCGAAAGTTGGCACGAAAGGCCTTTCCTCCTCGGCTTAAAGCCCTTGTTGCCGCGTATGAATCCGATTCATGGCCACCGCGTGGGTGCGGGCACACGCGCAGGAACACGCACAAAAAATGCAGCACTGCTGTCGACACATGAACGGAATTCAAGAGCAGATCCTCCTCCCTCCCCATCCCGCGAGAAATCCGTCCTTTGCGTGGCACCGAATCGTAGATGTAACTCCCTATCAGATAACAGAAGGCAAGGATGAACGGCAAGAAGATATATCCTTTTCAACCGATCCTCTTCGTCGTCGTCGTCGTCCTCCTCCTCCTCCTCCTCCTCCTCCTCCTCCTCTTTCTCCTTCATATTTTCCCTCTCCCTCTTCCTCTTCCTCTTCCTCTTGTCCTTCGGACAGCTGCTCCCGGGAAGCTCCCGCGGCGGCTCGGCCCCTCGGTCCCCCCCCATCCTGGTGGTGCACACACACCTCGTCGACCACGAGCGGTGCCCCCCGGCCCAATACACCAAAGGCCTAAGCTACCTTGTGCAGACGCTGGCGGCGGAGAGGAGAGCCAACGGCGGCGGCGGCGACGGCGGCCGCAGGAGTCGCCGGCGAGCATCTTGCGATCCCTCGGCATCGGGATTTTTTTTCGGCGACAGCGAGGAGAGCGAGGGCGACTACGGCGGAGACGTTCGCCACGACAGTAGCGGTACCGGCGGTGGTTCTCCGGTACCTGTGGGGGCCACAGGACCGTGTTCTAGCGATTCGGAGGTAAGTCGTGCGGTTTTCTGCTCTTGTGCAGGGTTCTGTGCGGGCGGTTTGGCTTGAGAGGCTTTGGTTGTACTCGGGTTTTTCGGTAGGGCACGAGTAGCGCACGGTCGGTCGGGGGAATACTACCAAGATTTTGGGCAGCAGCGCGGTCACTTGAGTGGTGTGTTGAATGGCACAATGGGCATGTACTACTGTGGTGGCTGATGGTGGCGACGGCGGGGTACGTAGTGAGGGGCGGGGCACACGCTGGGGAGAAGAGAGCTGCTGTTGGCGCTGACACGGGCGTACGGTTGGTGGTAGCGGCATGACGGAGACAGGGCCGTCCTGAGACCATCGGCTGTTGGAGGATCTCCACGCAGCGTTACCGCGCTCAAGTGGCGCTCGAAATACTCACCATGACGTCAACAACAACATCAACAGCAACAATAACAACAACAACAACAACAACAACAACAACATCAACCGTAAACGGCTTGCAATGTCGTGGTGAAAAAAACGTTTTGTGTCACAGCGAGGGCAAGCGGAGGTGATCCTAGTGATCGACGCCCACAAGGACACCGTGGGGGCCAAGGTGAAGAAGATCATCAGCCTCTTCATCGGCGGGGGCGGAGACAGCGACAATGGCAGCGGCGGCGGGGCGAAGGCAGGGAGAGGGACCCCACGAGACAGCCTGAAGAAAGGTGTGCTCGTGTGTGTGGTGTGTGTATTGACATCGACCGCGCTGACCGGCTGACCAATGAAAAGACGCCAGGCTCAGTGCGCATGAAAACAGCAAATGCTTCTATAGAGGCCATGATATCGGACCACGGGTGTGTGCAGAAGATTAGCGCTGCTGCTGATTTCATGTTCGTTCTTTGCGCACTTGGGAATGCGGGGAGGTGCCCGTTTGATCCGGCGTGTTTCATCGGTCAGGGTTATTTCGTCGTTTCTGGCATTGTGCTCTTTGGCATTTGATCTCTCTCTGTCTCTCTCACTCTCCGTCTCTCTCTTGCTTTTTCCCTCTCCCTCTATCCGCACACGGCACACACAGCCAAACCACATACTCCTCTAGAGGATATGCAACGAACACACCGCCCCCCCCCGGTGTTTGCCATCGGGATCGGGATCGGGTTTTCGTCGCTTGGCAACGACGTTGTAAAACAAGCCGCCCCCCCCGGTGTTTGCCATCGGG